ATATGAATTTGGGGGGCAGTACAATTCAGCCCATAACACCCCCCTTAAATTAAATGAAACATTAATAATTACAATGCTTATCCCTTTATTTAAAACAAATAATCCGCACACACAAGAGGTGCCATAATTGTGTAACTATGGGAAAGGCCAGTCCAGTTTGAGGGGCCCTTTAAGCAGTAGGCATCTTCACCTTCCCTGTGACAGAAACAGTAACTGTACCCCAAGTATCCACATGCGGCCCCACATTTCTCAGCCTCTCGCTCACAGGAAGGCCACAGAACTAGTTCCAGCCCTCAGAGAACACTCAAGGGCAGAGGAAGGCCCTCCGGCTCATGCTTCCTCTGCTGCCCCAGCCACAGAACCGTGGATGAGCCATGGGCAGGAAGCAGCCTGGATCCCTGAGTCACCACATGGAAGATGGTGGCTCTGGCATCCGCCAAACTGCATACAAATTTGTGTGAGAAATAAACCTTTACTGGGCAAGTCACAGAGATTTGGGGTTTGTTATCAGCACAAAGCCGCAACTATCTAACACACTGGGTTGCCAGAGAAGAAGTGAACACGGACGAAGGGGTCACGGAAGGCATTCTCCTCGCAGACCTGCCACGAATTCACGGCCCAACTTTGGGCGAGAAGCCATGTTCGTGACACAGGCTCACATCCTGCCCTTTCCAGCGGGCTCCGGTCACGAGGCCTATAACGAATACATTTTTGTTCTTCCTGAGGGTTTATAACACCAGCCAAAGACCTTCCTTTCAAAATACCTAATGGGTCACCTCCGGAGCAGGGAATATGTTGTGTAACTAGCTCAGGCCCTGAAGTCGGACCCATTTCTGAGAATAATGCCGTGTCCCGGCATTGTCTTCCCTGCAAATGTGCCATTGTTTGGTTTTAGACCACTAAGCTCTAGCTGACCCCTGGGTTTGCTCCACACCAAGCTACTCTAGGCTGCCAGGGCTGGTTGCCCCAAATGCTCCTTATCCACATACCAGCTCAGACATAGATACCCCCATGGAAGGGGATTGTGAAGGTTGAACTACTCCCCACCCTTCCCCCACCCCAGTCTGTTGGTGCCACAACCATCAGATCTGAGAGATAACTGTGTGTCATGAAAACAGGTCCACAGAAAAGAAGTTCAAATATATACCCCATTTGTCTTTGGAACCAGATGTCTGAAAAGCTCCCTTGACGAAAAAGCTGCCACAAATAATATACTCATTTACTACTCAGGAAATATGCTCCTTTCATTGAGAAGTGATGACATGAAATTGAACCAGCTCCCAGTACTGCCCTGAATTATTCTCACTGTGCCTGGAGCTCACAGAGGGTCCTACAAAGAAAACAAATATAATAACTGAGAGGCTTCCAGACCCCCCTAAAAATATCAGTCTTGCACTCTTTCTGACTTCGTTTTGTGACATGGCTATTTAGAAAATGTTTTATTGACTTCATCTAGTAAAACCCAACAGCCTTTTAAGAGCTAATGCAGATAACAAAGAGGTCCAGGGGTTGCTGCTCACTTGGAAGATCTGTTGAGAAAGAAAAAGTCTTTCTCCGGTGGTTGGTTGGTGGAAAGAGCGCGACGTGCAGAATCTCAAGAAGCTGCACGATTCTGATAGTGACCGGAAATTGCAAAGACCGGGTCTAGGGAAGGACCTCAAAGATACCTGTCGTAATGACAGCTTGACCTGATGTGGACTCTCCACTCTCCCCACGACAGCCACACTCTGACTTCTGTGTGTTCTTTGAGGGAGGCGCCCTGCCTCCCAGACCCGCTCTGGGACCAGCTCACTTAGGGATGCTGGGGAGTCCTTAAACCATTCAGGGCCCCAGTTTTCTCTTCTTCAAAAAGGTTGGGGTTGAAGCACATAACCTCAGGTTCCTCTCTGTCCTGAAATGTTTGGACTCCTAGAAGGAAAGAGCATCACCAAAACCAGATACTCATTGTGGCTCCCCAAGCCCATCAAGCTTCAGGGAGCTTCGTGTGGCAGAAGGTGCACTCCCATCATGCCATTCTCTGAGCCACACCATCCAGGGGGACACAAGGCTTTAACCAAGGTGGACAGTGATGAGTGAAGTCAGAACTGGGACAATCCAACCCTCCCATTCCACTTCACCAGCCTTCTTCCCGCATCCCTCACCCATCCCTAAAGCAAGGACAAAAGCCGGATGTACTGTTCACAGATGTCATTCTTCATGTGCCATTTTCAGAATCTCCAAGGGAGATCCTGAACCCCCTAAAAAAGAAAAAAAAATGCTGATTCGTCTTGAACCGCTGTCTGCTGTACATCGGTCAGATAAGAATTCTGTAGATCACACACCTGCTACAAGCAAAATGAAGTGGTGATACAGGAGCAGAAGATGCCCCCAAATACCCTACAGCTCGATTCCCACTTGTATCCGGTCAGTGGCGGGGCCACAGACTTCATGTAGAAGACAACCAACTACTGCAACGTACTCAGTGTGTTAAGATTTACCAAACGCAAATAAATGAAGCAGTCAGAGTGAGGGAAAAGTGTATTTCACAGTCATTATAAAAGTACATATATTTAATAATGGTGACATAAATACAGTCCTTACTTACAACCAAATCGTACAATTACAGTTGACTTTTCCTCCTGGACTTCACACGGTGATAGGTTGGTCATGTCCGTCAGTTAACTACAGGCTGACTGAGGTCATGGGCACAGACTAATGAGAGACAGTCTTGGGTGGCACAGACAACACACTTTGTACTTACCAAAGGGACAGTCAAGTTTCCCATATAAATATAATAAAATAATAAAGAATTTAACATTTCTTCTTTCACTTGGTTTCATAAATTTGTCAGGTGCTCACATACAAAAAATACAGTTGCCCCCCCCTTCCTCACTCCCCCCTCACCTCTCACTGGGTTCTGGAATAAACCTGAGTTCACAGTTCAAGTGACCAATGGTGACACGGTCAGTTAGTTGTATGACCGTGTGCGGCTGGGTCGAGGAACAGAATGCATGTCCCAATGAGCTAACAGCGATACAGAAAAACACTCACGTTCTCAAGGAAAGCACAATACAAGAACGAGACATAGAGGGAAAGAAGTTCACAAGGCACAGGGACAGAGCCTGCAAACCTGCAGAGCGTCACACTTTCAAAAAAGGTTCCTTCACCGATCAAAAACCAGACACTTCACGTCAAACGGAGAGAGGTCTTTTTCAGATGTTTTTCTTCTCTCCGCTTAAAAAGCTCCATTTTCAATGGAAAGTTCTGGAACCCGGTCTGGAGCCATACAGAGGAATAACACCAACAGCCAGGAGCCTGACTCCTTCCTAACAAGCCCTTCAGCCGGGAGGATCCCAGCGAGGGGGCAGGGAGCAGTTCCAGGGTCTTGTCAAGGCCAGCCGAGACTGGGCGTATCTCAGTGGCTTCCAGGGTCAGCCAAATATCCTCTCTTTCCTGGCTCAGTCAGAAACGTGTAGAGCAGATGGAGGTCATGACGGCTAAATGAGAAAAGACATAAGAACCAGCCCACGGCCTGTTTCAGACTCAGTGGGCTGTGGACTAGCCTTGGGGTGACCACAGCTGTGAGTTCTGCTCATGCCTGCACGAGCCAAGAGCTGAAGACCCCAGGCCACCGTGTGACCTGTCTCCTGAGCTAACCGCTATCCAACCCCGTGCTGATTCTTCTTTTTTCCAATTTTGCTCATGACAAAGCGGCCCCCGCCAAGTGCCAGGGCCCAGGCCCCACGTGGAGACAGCCCCAGCAGGCTCCTGGGAGACACGGTCAGACAACACCAAGATCCACAAAACCACATGGGATGGCACGGACACAGAACCGGAGATGCATCTTTGGTTCGAACCTTGGCAAAAGGTATGAACACAGAACGTGGACTCAAAGCACGTTTGAGGAATGCTGCTTTCCTCAGAGAAGACGTGGAACTGCATTCTGAACGTGATCCCCGCCGCGTGAGGCTGCTCAGAGCTTACAGCAAACTCGTCCCAACGAAACCACACTTGGTTTCTTGGCAGCTCGAAAACTGCATTGAGCAGAGGTAATGAGCGATGCCTTCCAGATGCATCTACATTCAACCTTAACATCTTCTCTCTTTCTCAATCATTAACTGTAAGTATGTCCCATGCCTTCTAGAAGGTTCAGGCTGTGTTGGTACGGCAGGAAGAACACAGGGCCTGCCACGATCATGCCCTCCTGCAGGCCACAGGAGGGCCACCACTGGAAACATCACGTGGGAGAGTGCCGGTGCCCTCCGTGCATATCCTCTCGTGAAAACACGAGTTTGGTAGGATCGCTTCTCATCTCCCCACCCAGGTTTTTTTAAAATTCTGTTACTTTGATCTGACATCCCCTAAGGAAAAAATCATCTTTGGAAAAGATACGCCGACGCTTAGCAAGGTTCAACCAAAACAGAAGATGGCAAATGTGTGTCCCCTTTGGCCTTTTCCTTTCATTGGGGTGCCCGCGTTTTGGCTCTGTCCTTGCCCCGGTGCCCCTTCCCACACAGAGGGAGGGGGTGTCCTGCTGGCAGTGCCCCGGGTCTGGCAGTTGAGTCAGGGGCTCCTCGGGCCGGCAGGGATTCACCTCTACGAGAGGAAGGGGAACCACCCCGGGACACCGCGAGTCACATGGGGAGAAGTCACAGTCCTGAGAGGCAGCCACAGAGCACAAAGTGAGCAAAGATCCAAAACAGGCTGGGATGTGAGCAGCCCAGAGGCCGATGCCCCCCAGCAGCCCAGCAGAGGGAGGAGGACGGGAGGACGCCACCCCTCTAGCCACACCTCCTAGTAAATTCCAGCATCTCTGGGGTCCCTGCACAAGCCCGGGTGGTGCAGGCTTTGGGTCTGTGGGTGTGAGCCGCTCATAATTGGGACATGGCCTGGCAGGGGGAGAGGAGAGGCCCTAAAGGAGGCTCCCACGAGGCCTTCCAATCTTCACAACCTGATGCACGTGGGGAGCTCTGTTCCGTTACTTTCCTAAGAAATACCCAGAACCCTGCCCCTGGCCCAGATCAGCACTGGCCTTTGAGCCCGTCGGGCACATCGAAGGAGAGGCTCACGGGGGCCATGGGCTGCAGCGGGGGCAGGCTGGCCTCCAGGGGCCTGTCTGCGGAGGGCTGCAGGCTCTGCTGGCGTTTCCGCAACATCTGTCCGATGCCCATCATGGGGAACCTGCCCCGGCTTTTCACGCAATTTGGGCTCCCCAGGGGCTGCGTGGTGCCATTACTGGGAGCCGGAGATGGGGAACACACGCCCTCTTCCTTTGGGGGGCTGTTCTTTTCTTCGTGAGCAAAGGAGACCAGAGTGGGATGCAAAGGAGTTTGCAGAGGGGACAGGCTTCCAGGCAGCAGGGCGGGGGAGAGCGTCCGCTCACCGGGATTCCCACGCGCCAAGGCCCCGGGTGAGCCTAGAGCCCTATAGTGATGAGACGGGGACAGCGGTTCGGGGTGGTCCTCGCGATCCACGGACTCGAAGGAGCGTACCATATCCAGCACCAGGGGGTCTTCCTTGGGGGGGATGCCAGGGCCCCCAGGGCCCTGCTGAGGGGGCTCTGGTCTCTTGACAATCCTGGGGGTCCTGGGGGGTGGGACGGGGATGAACTCCATGGAAGAAGAAGCCACACAATTGGAGTCTGAGGTTTTGCGGAAAATATTGCGGCAGCCGAAGGAATCTGCACCCAAGAAAGCAAAGGACATCATGAGGACAGTCGCGTGAATGGGGATGGGAACGGCCCTCCCCTGCCTGCTTCGGCCTCTTGACCGATACGACCCTTCCCCGGAGACACCAGAAGGAACCAAGAAGCAAAGGGCCCCAGCGTCTGGCGCTCCCCACGGGGAACCAGATGCTCTTCCTAGGATGGAGGGGACAGCAGGCTGGTGACAGGAGGCCTCCCGCGTTCCGGTTTGCCCATGGCACCACCTTGACATCTGCTCTCCTTTTGGCTGCTTAACATTCCGGACCCTGCCAATGAGTCTTTGAATTAGCAGAACCAGAAGCACACGCACCCAGCCCACGGGCTGTGGACCCGTGAATTTGGTCCTCAGACAAGCGACACTGGAAGGAGTGTTTCCCTTGTGACTTCTTTTTTTTAAATTGTGGTTAAAATAAATAAATAAATAACATGACATAACATAACATAACAAAGTTCTCATCTTAACCGTTTTCTGGTCTAACAGTTCAGTAGTGTCAAATACATCCGTGGTGCTGGGAAACAAAACTCTTCATGGTGGAAATCTAAAACTCTCCCCACTCAATAGTAACCCCCGTTCCCGGCCCCTGGCACCCACCATCCTCCTTTCTGTCTGTGACTCTGACTACGCCGGGTGCCTCACATGAGTGGAATCTCTGGTATTTGTCCTTCTGGGACTGGCTTGTCTCACTGAGCAGAACGTCCTCAAGGCTCATCCGTGTTGTCATAAGCGTCCGAATTTCCGCCCTCACGACGCCTGACTGACCGGAGCCTCACCCGACTCTGACGGGGGTGACACACTCCTCATCTCTACACGGAAGGCCATGAGCCCGTCCCCATGGTTTCCCCGTCAGGTTGGCACTGCCTGGAATGCAGGTTTGCAGGCGGCGCCAGAAAAGAAAGGGAAACCCCCACCAACCTGCAGCAGAGGGAAATAAAGCCAAGTCCCTGCGGAACAAGCCCTGTCTTCACTTCCCTTTTCCACCGGCCCACGTTTTAGGCCCCGGTCCCCCCGTCGAGCCTCAGCTGCAGGAATAAGCAGAGTGATTCACGAGAGCCCAGGGCGCAGGGCATCCACTTGGCCTCACATAAATAAATCCACAGATCCCGGAATAATCTCCTCCTCAGGCCACCACAGATGCCTAAGGTTCACCGGCAGAGAGACGCAAAATTTCACCGAAGGGCTGATGTGTCCGGTGCTCCAGCTGGCACGCGAGCCTCCCCTTCCCTACCCTCCCCGCCATGGCCGTGTGCTCCCAATTGGTGGCCTAATGTCCCCCTCTGCCCAGTCCTGCATCCTTCACTTCCCCAGAGATGGAGAGCCTGTGAGGAAGCTTCCCAGCCCAGAGTCACTGGCCTGCACACTGCATCACCCCCCCGCAGAAAGGGCCTGCTCACCAGCCCCCCACCCCGTGAGCACCCTGGCTGGCTCCTCTTCATCCATCCTTATCAGGAGGCAGGAGGCCACACGGGTCAGGAGAGAAAGCTCTAGAGCCAGGCGGCCCAACTGGAAATCTAGACTCTGTCAACTCACCAGCACTCTGACTTTGTCGGGTTCCCTGTGCCTACTTCCTCTGCTCTAGAAGTGGGTGTGGGGTGAGCTAAGAGCTTGAAACAGGGTCTGCCACACAGTGAGTGCTCAGTGCTAGAGACCAGGTTAAATTCTGACCTATCATGCTCTCAGATGCCAGGGTGAAGGAAAAAACGCAAAGAAACAAATGATAACAGGCCCAGGAAAACTACCAGGCGTGGAATCCACCTCGAGCGTAGCAAAGTTATCCAAAGTATCAGCCCTGACCTAGACTTTCTCGGGGACATCCATGGGACGGCACCGTCAAGGGCCCGAATTCGCTGCTGCCGACAAAGCCAGAAGGCAGAAGCACTAAGTTGGGGGACAAGCAGAGCTCCTCCTGTGAGACCCACTGCCTTTCGGGAAAGCTCAAGAATGAAAGTGAATCAAATGGAATTTTCCTCTCTGGCTGAGAACCAGGTTTCTCTTCGGGGAACAGTCCCACTGTTTGAATCTGCCCAACACTTTCCTGCTTCACCTGCCTGCTTTCCACACCACTCACCACTGTCCCGGAGGACGGAGCCTCGTATTTATCAGTTACCTGATGTGCTGGACTCTGAAAGGGGCGGACAAGCCCACGTATGTACCTCATTTAATCCACACGGTAGCTCCGACAGGTGGGTTTCCTTGCGCCAGTAAGGGAACAACTTTGGATCCTCTGAAGGTCAGGAACTTAGCTCACAACAAGCCAACAGAGCGGGGTCTGAGCCCCCCACCCCCAGCCCAGAGCCCAGACTCTTCGACCGTGCTTCAGTGCCTTAGCCCACAACCCCCGTCTCTATTCTTGCATCCAAATCGCCACTCCTGAAATATTTTGTACCCTGATCTCTGCTCCCTCCCACAATGCCATGTACCCCGTCTCTGCTCCCACAAGACAGTGCACCCCGCCCCTGCTGTCTCAAAGCCTGCCGGCACGGGTGGCCAACCAAAACCACACGGTCTGGACCTTGACGGTTCTCGGGTTCCCTTGGGCGTGCTCACTGCTCTCCCATGGGCACAAGATTCGTGTGTGTCCCAGGGGCCCACACAGCCACCCATGAGGGGGATGCAGTGACCATGCATCTCAACACAAGGGGCCTAATCGGTAGCCTGAGCTGGCCCACCTTTGTCGGGGAAGCCGGACTTGGGGGCCTTCCGGTCCTTCAGCAGAGCTTTAGTGTTCTGAATCTGAGTGATGAGAGAGGCAGAGGGCTGTTTGTGCGAGGGCACATTCTTGTCCAGCTTCTTGGAAAACGGCCGATGAAGAAAATCTCCTCTTTTTTCTTGTTCTTTGGGCTTTTCGTCCTTCAAGTCAGAAGTAAACACATGTACTCAGACACACACACAAATACACAATGTGACTCCCCTTTGAAGAGTTATCCATGGAGATCTGAGAAAGCCCAGCCTCTCAAAACTCTGTTCTCAACTGCACGTTGAGCAACGGAAGAGCCAGGGCCCCGCGGACGCTCCAGGGAGCCCCCCTCCCTAGGCCATAGGCTGGCTCCCGTCACCCCCAGCTCCCTGCATGGCACTGTTTCAAGGTGTTCCAGCAAGGGCAAGGTCACCCCGAGGAGGTCAGTTGTTCCAGAACATGCTGGAGGAGCTAAGGCAAAGCACATGAGGACTTCTGGAAATCTGTAGTCTTCTCTAAAGCAGGGCCCTCAGATTCTGCCCACGGCAGTGGTTTTGCAAAGGCAACTTTGCAAATGAAATGCAACCACTTCCATCTCGTTGTCTACTCATGTGTGTTCAGTCAAGCCAAGGAGGTCGGAACCCTGAGCCATCCTGGGCATTTCTGAGCCTTGCCCACCCTCGGTCACGCAGGCCCTCGCCTGTGCGCTTAACACCGGCACTATTTAGCCATTCTTGCTCTAAGTCTTGCCTTTCCTGAACTCTGTTATAATCCCTCTGACAGGAGTGAATTTTACTATTTTCTGTATCTTCCACCCCACAGCCTCTGGCATAAAGCCAGGCACATAGAGAAGGCTTAATAAATAGTTACTGAAATGTTAAAGAAAAAAAAAAAAGCCAGTGAAAACCAAACTGAATTAAAATCGAGTTCAAGCTTCTGGGAAGGGTGATATGGCTCCAAAGTTCCTTCTCTGGCCCTAAAGAGTGTTTGATGTTTACTGTTTAACAGAGTCCCTGACCTCACCACCAGTGAGGGGGGAAAAAAAGACAGTTTCACATTTTTGCCTTCAATGTTAAGAGCACTTGCAATTCAGGAGAGCTCATCCATTTTTCATGGATGTTGTTGAAAAGCTTCTTAAGGAAGCCTCTCCTTGTGCTTGTAGGGCCCTTTCCAAGGGGGATTTTCAAAGCCTTTCCAGAGTGGGGTTCGTTAGGCTGCCCAGTTGGCGGGTGGGAGAAAATGGGAGGGAAGGAACTGGAAGTGGGGGTGCCATGCCGAGCCTGAGGGTCACCGTGGGGGCCACAGCCCCTGGGGGACGCTGTGGCTGTCCCCAGTGGAGGGCTGAAGCGGGAAGAAAGGAGAAGCAAAGCCCAGAAAGTGGGTGTTCTCCATCCTTGCCGCCGCACGCCCTCTGGAAGCCTGGGGCAGGGCCAGGCGAAAGGCGGACCCAGGGGACACAGGGCTGGCGAGGGACGGGGACCAGGCTGTGGTCCCTGGGCTCCAGGTCGGCACTGGGGATGCCACAGAGAACACTTGTGCTCCAGGTCATGATGTAGGATGTCACCGAGGGCAAAGGGGCAGCTGCCTGCTCCAGCCCATCTTGGTCAAGGCCACGATCCTCCACTGCTTCCCTCTCCATGTTTCAATGAAACACCCCCTTCTCTAACGCAAAGGGGAGCGAGCTTTCACACTCCCCTGTGCCCCCAAGCATCAAAGGGCACATGACAGGCTTGTCCTGAAAAGTCTGGCAAAATTTCCTCCTCTCATGCTGTTCTTTCTACCTCTGTTTTTATGAGAAAAATCACCAGGTCCACCGTTTACACTCTAAATGGCAAAAAGGCAATCAAATGCACTTCTATGAAACACCGTAAAACAGTACTGGAAGGAAAGACAAGATTGCAGTTCCCTCCTTTTCAGGACTGTGTTCTAGAACAATGAGTACATCTTCCTTTGGCCTGTTCTGGGATCCCTACTCTTTAGAGGGCTGCCTGGCTTCATGGCTTCATCTTGGCTCCTCCCCAACTCTCTCTGGCTTCTCAAAAGCCAAAGGGTCAAGATGCAAAGTTTCTGAGGGCCAGCACCACCACCTAACTAGAGTCCATTCGCACTGAGAGGTGTACTACGCATGAATCTTCTGTAGAAAGAGCCCAAGGTTGGCTCTAGAAATCTCTTCAGTAACTAACAAAGGGATTATTTGGCACCAAACAGAAAGCCCCTATCGGGGGGGGCGGGGGGCAAAGGATGGGGCGAATGGAATGAGGACACTTGCTCGGGCCACTCTGTTGAACTTAATCCCAGGATCCCGCACCCTTGTGTTTTCTCCAAAAGCCCCCAGGACGCCCTTCTCCAGCCCAAAAGAATGGGTGATTTCACGGTGACCAGTTTCTTAGGGGGATACCAAGAATTCACCACCCAACAGATCCCTGCCGGGCATAAACTGCCGGATCAGTCCCTGTGGACGGGTCGACAGCACACACGAGAAACGCGTTTTGTGTACCACCAGCCAATCTCAGCGCCCTCCAAGCACAGGTGACCAAATGCAACCAATCATCCAATTATATCTTTTCATTTGCATGCCCTATTTTCTCCACAAGAGATCTAGGGAACAGGATGCAAAAGTGCTTTATGTAAAAGAAACAGATCTTCAGAGGGACTCATTATTTTCCCCTTCGACATGCCCACACCCACTCCCCTCCCAGCGAAGCCGCTGCCTCTCTTTGGCTTTCTTCTGATTCTCACAGACTCCCCACACCCGCAACCCCCCCAACCGAACTCCCCAAGGCAGATGAGAGAGGGGACCCCGTGAGGTCCCAGAAGCAAGCCCCACAAAAAACAGCTTCCAGTTCCCTATAAACCACATTCCACCCACTGCACAAGTGCATGGACATTGACAAAACTGGACACTTTGAAAATGTAGCCTCATAAAGGACTATCTACCCAAGACTCTTCCAGTGTCATGATTGTTTGAGAGGAGAGAGGAAGAGGCTAGTGAGTGATGGTGCACCGGGCTTCTGGAAGGATCGGTCTGCAAGCCCAACAGGCAGTGGGAGGAGGACAAGCAGGTCCTCGGCCTCTGAGATCTGAGCCCCAGGGCTGGTCCCTTGAGACTCATCTCTGTGACTCTAGCCTCCTGTGTTCCAAAGAGTGGGCCCCCTCTGCCTTCCTCCCCAGCTTTGCACCTGGAGTGTAACTGGGTGACCTTCCACTGGGATGGCCCAGGGGTCTGGGTGTTGGTTGCTGGTTCCTTTGGGAAAGCCACAGAGATCTGATTTTGCCACAAGAAAAACACAACAGAGTTGAGAAAAAGAGGGCCTGGTTCATAAATTAGGCCACAGAAGCTTTGGACTGTTGCACAGCCCACTTCTCGTATAGGTAGAAACATGAATGCATAGCCAAGTGTACAGTTACAACAAGACAATAAAAAATGGTCAACTAAACATAGAATGCACCAGTCTGATCCGAGGGGATTCCAATAAACCCACTTCCAATCGGATTCTGCATTTTAATTCCAGACTGGGATGGGGGTACGTAGAATCCAGAGAGCCCTGAGCAAAGACCCACCAACCTTCAGGGTCATATGTGATGGTTAATTTCAAGTGTAAACTTGGCTAGGCCATGGTACCCAGTGTTTGGTCAAACAGCAGTCTAGATGTTGTGAAGGTATTTTTTAGATGCGATTAAATCAGTAGGCTTTGAGTAAAGCAGAGGACCCCCCACAGTGTGGGTGGGCCTCATGCAATCAGTTGAAGGCAGTAAGAGGAAAAGACTGAAGTGTCCTGAGGAAGAAGGAATTCTGCTTCCAGAAGGCCTTGGGACTGAGCTGAAACATCCACTTTTCCCTGGGTATCCAGGCATCACACACACACACACACACACACACACACACACACACACACATTCTCTCTCTCTCTCTCTCTCTCTGTTGGTTCTTCCTGGAGAACTCGAACTAATCCATCATAACCCCCAAGTTCTTACCTGCACAGCATGGAATTCAAGGTCTCTTGTCCAGGTGTCCAGGGAGGCCTATGAAAAGCAACATTTTCAACAATTTAAGAAGCTGTACCTGCCATTTATCCCCTAAACTCTATCCCCCTACCACTTGCAGCTCTGGCTGAGAATTACTCATTTCAATGTTCAGAGACAAGAAGCCAAACTCCTAAACCATCATGCAACCAGGCAGCAGATATTCTGCTTCATGCACTGAAGAGATTTTCTAGGTTAGTTTTTATTAAGTCTAAGACACCTAATGGAGGAGCGCTCTCCTGGCAAGGAAGCGGTGCAACCAATGCATTTTCTCCAAGAGCAAAAACATGCACAGAAGCAGCACCCAGATCAAGATACAGAACCCAACTGGTACCCCCACCGGTGTCCTCTCCCAGCCCCCAAAGGTAACCACCATTCCAATTTCCAACAGCACAGATTGTCTGATCTGATTCCAGACTTTATTTTTACAAGTTGCATAGATTTGAAACACACCAAAGCGAACATTTTAGTATTTTTCCCTTTAAACTTACTGCCCCGGTGATGGGTTGATTGCATTCCCCCCAAGTTCCTATATTGGAGTCCTCACCCCCAGGACCTCCGAATGTGACCTTCTTGGAAGACAGTCAGGATGGGCTGCGGATCCTGTCCCCTTTGATGCTTGGGGGAAAGGGGAGTGCGAAAGCGCACTCGCCTTCGCTTTCAGGAGGGGGCCTGCTGGGGAGTCACCTTGACGGAGGTCATCCAGCCCCAATGCAATGGGACTGAGATTCTCATAAAAGGGGGGAAACTGGACATAGAGACGCACCTGCAGAGAAGAGCTGCAGGCAGAGATCAGTGGTGCTATAAGCCAAGGAACCCCAAACCCAAGGAACCCCCAAGATCCCGGTAACCCCCAGTAGCTAGGAGGCACAGGACAGCTTCTCCTCTCGCTGCCCTTGAAGGGAACCAGCCTTGAGCTCGGACTTCTGGCCTCCGGAACTGAGGGACAGCGAATCCCTGCTGCTCGGCGCCCTGTGTGTGACCCTTTGTTACGGCAGCCCCTGCATACGGATCCGGTCCCTCTGCCGCCACCCCCCGCACAGCGTCCTGCCCACGCTGCCCCGTGACTGCGCTGCCGAGAAGCCCTCCGAGGCCGAGCTGACATTGCTCCCCGCACCTTAGTGCACTTTAACAAACATGACCTCCGGCTCTATGGGGCTCTCAGAAGCCAGTTTCAAAATGACGACTGCCCCTCCTCGACCTCCCCCGTCCTCGAGGGCCTCGTTTTTTTTTCTTAAGGAAGAGGAGTCCCTGGGGACACGTGCTCGAGGCGTTCTCAGATGAGACATGTGTCCCACTTTTACAGACATATTTGCCACCTTTTAAAGGAAGAGGAGGAGAAAGACAAGGAGGAGAAAGGAACAGGAGGAAAGAAGTCGTCCAAGAACAGTCCTGTAATCCCAAGGGGGACATTTTCTCAACTTAATTCAGCTCTTTTGTCTCCGAGGAGAAAAAGAACTGGAACTGAGAAGAACAAAGAGGCCACGCGCGGTCCCGGGGCCGCCACACGGCCCCAAGCCCCCCTCCACCCCCCCAGCCAGCCCGCATGCGGGTGACCTGAAACCCATCCCCCTCCCCGCAGCTTCTCCTGGACCAGCGCCTGGCGACTGGAAGGAGGCGCACGGAGGCTCTGAGGAGGCAACTTCACCTAGAAACCCTGGGCCCTTTCAGCTCCTCGGAACATGTTTTCTAACTGGCCCCATTCCACTCTCTGGGCTCCAACAGAGGCAGGTTAGATAATCTGGTAACGGCTCGTAATTTAATTAGTACAAGTATCGCTGCCATTTGGAGAAAACAAACGGATCATAGAAAATTGAAATGCTTTTTTCCCATTAGCGTTCCTATTTAAACCCTGTTAAATATTTCAACAAATGTTTAAAACACTCGCCATGTGTTTTCAGGCCAAATGAGATAATCATCGGAGAAAAATAATCTGGGTGGGGGGAAAAAAAACGGCCCCTTTCCCATGACAGATGCTTTCAAACAAACAATCGCAGGGGTCAGGTTCGAGGGCAACCGAGGACACAGATGTCAGCAAGGTGACTTGGAGGCCATTGCGGGCACACACATGGGGCACTGGGTGCATTGTTACTTGAGTCCCTCAAGAGTCAAATGCAGACCAAGAGGCAAGAGAGCATCACGGTGAATTCTGCATCCTCTGCACCCCAGCTGAGGTGACAACCCTCTGAGCAAGTGACCAGGAGATGTCCCTCCCTGCCGTAGGGCTTGGGCACCTGGTAATGACGGTGAGACTTAGGTGCTAGGCTGCAGGTGGGTCTGCCACTGCAGTCAAGCTAGGTGTCCCGCCTGGATCATTCCACCTTCTTCCCTTGTGGTCCCAATTCTGCCTGCGACCCAGGGCAAGATCCACCTGATTCTTTCATTTGTTCATTTAGCAAATATTTGCTGAGCGCCTACTACATGCCAGAGCATTGTGTGGGACTCTAGGGGTACTGTGAGGAGCAAAAGGGACACACTCCCTGCTCTTATGGAACTCACGGCCCAGAGTGGGAGAGAGATCTGAGTCAAACACTCCCTGAGCAAACAGAACGTGCAAATGGGACGAGCTCCAGGATGCAGAATGGGGTGTGACAGCCTGTAGAGAGATGGGACCCAATGGCAGAGGTCAGAGAATGGCAGGGCTTGGAATCTGAAGACAGAAGATACCAATCAGCAAAGAGAGGTGAGGGGGACATTCTGGAAGAGGGAACAGGGTGTACATAGCGCTGGGAGCCAAGAGAGCACAGAAGTCTGAAAGGCCCCGTGGGTCTGAGCCCACAGCAAGAAGCAGGGCTGTGTGTGTGGGTCCGGGGGACAAAGCTGGAGAGGCAAGCAGACGCCAGTCTAATCCGCGACATGGCGGCCATGTCACCGACTTTGCCTTCCAGGTTAAGGAAGCCTTCGAAGACTTGCAGCAGGGAAGTGACGTGATCCCATCTGAGTGTGGATGGCTCAGCTCTGGCTGGTGTGCAAAAAAGGGAGAGCCAGGGGTTCAAGGGGAAGGAGGGGCGACCAGTTAGGGCTGTGGCCAACAACCAGGCCAGAGGCGGTGGTGTCTGGGATGGGGTGGGAGGGCAGAGACGGAGGGGGTGTTGGGGTTTGAGAGGTTTAGGAGTCAAGCTGGCAGATCCTGCTGATAGGATCTGAGGCTGAGGAAAAGTAACTCCTGGGTTTCTGCCCTGTACTTGGGGGTGGGGCTGCCATCTGCAGAGACACTGGGGGTGGGCCAGTTCCAGGCATGCTGGTTTGGGGACACCTTCGCTCATGCAGGAAGAGGTTTAGTAAGCAATTGGCCAGAGGGGTCTGGAGCTCAGGGGAGTCTGGCCCCTACACCACTTCCGCCCTCCTGCCCTCAGCCTGAAAGCCATGCGCGAGCTTGCTGCTCAGCCCCAGCGCACACCCGGCCCCCCCAAAAGCTGATGCGCATCCTCATCATGCTGGTGCTGCAGCCTGTCTCAGAGGAAGGAGGCCTCCAGCCTGGGATCACCACCCCCAGCCATCCCTGGAGTTCCTCCCAACTTCCTCTGCCCTCACTCCTCCCAACCCCGTATCCTTCAAGCAGGGGGTGGGGGGGGGCATGGCCTCTCCTTCCCTTCACTGCCAATGCCACCAACAGAGAGGTCTACGCTCACTGTCTCCACTTCCCTTCTTCCCCTTCTGAAACCCATGCAATCTCTTTCTGCCTTTGCCACTTCCACGAGCTGGTCTCTGTAAGAGCCCCCAGGGTCTAACTAACTGCTCAGCCGACACCACTGACCATTTTACACTCGGCCTCTCCCATGGTCTCCCTGCTGCCATTCCCAGCAGGGTCTCCTGCACGCTCCCTGGCCACCCCCGTCATCCTTGCCACCGTGCCTCCTCATCCCCACCTCCTTCAATCTCACTGTCCCTCAGGCTGTGCCTAGATGGGACAGCCGTGCCATTCTGCCCTGCCTTGACGCTCAGGGGTGGCCTTCCCTGGGCTCCTGTCACATTTACACGTGACAAGCGCTGTGTCACCTGTGTTACTGGACTGGCTTGGGCCATGCCCCACGTGCTGTCACTGCCAAGGAGCCTGGCATGATGCTCAGTCACCACCCACCCTCACTGCAGCCTTCGCTCAAGAAAAAGCTGGGAGAACTTCCTTCTCTGGTGACAGGCCCGGCTCGTGCAATAATCAGAATGAAAATGGAGTCCAAAAAGGGAGGAGGGAAGCGGGCAGGCCCGTCGGCCTCAAGCAGGGCATGGAGGAAGGAGGGCTCCCCTTTTGATCTCTCCTCAAACGAAAACATTCTGGAGGCTTGGGAGGGGAAATCAAGCAGATTCCCAGGAAAATTAGTGAGAAGGCAGAGAAGCCACATCTGACAAAGCACGGAGTGAGGAGTCCAGGGTGGGTGGGTGGCTGGGTGGGGGCGGCCTCACACCGGGCCCCGGATCTGGCTTCCCAGGCACAGTCTCTTCCCAAGCACGCATGTGGGGTCCAAAATTGGTACAACTTGCCATACGATACTAGTTTTTACTCTGAAATCAAAGAATCTTGGTATCTTCTCTTACGTATGTACTAGGTAGCATCAAGTTGTCAAGGACAGGTGCCTGGAAAAGCTTGCTTTCATCCAGCACTTTTTCCTGTCCCTCATTTTACTTTTTCCTTCTGATGCCAAGCGTTACACTCATGTATATTTTTGAGTATCTCATTTTTGCCTTTTGGAAGACTTCACAATGGTTTCCAACCTTGGACACTCAATGGCATCAGCCAGGGAGCTTTAAAAAATACTGAGCCCCCCACCACCACCCTCTGCCCCCGATTCCTGCCCCATGAGATTCAGTGGAATTGGTCTGAGGTGCATCTGTGCACCCATATATTTAAATGCTCCCGGTGATTCTAATGTGTGGCCACAGCTGAGAACCACACAGTCTGACGACCGAGAGATCATGGCTCGACTGGAAACCATCTTTTGGGGCTCAGTTAAGCCAGTAAGTATTTGTCTTTTGCTGCTTCTGTGTCCCACCATCATTGGTTTCCTGTCCATTCTGCTCTCCAAATGGGAATCCACTCTTCCTAAACGACCCTGGGTTTTGCTTTGGGGGTCACTCACCTCGTAGGGCTCCTTGGTGGGCCTGCACTTTTCTATCTGGTAGAGCTGGGTCTTGTAGCAAATGCTGTCCTGGATGTCAGATTTCTATCAGAGGAGAAGGGGGGGAAAGCATGGCTTAACTCACAGGAAACAGAAATGTCCATTAAGTAGTCGTTCATTTTTATAGGAGCACTTGGCGGAGAAAGTGTCAAAAGTGGTTGGCAACATCAAAAACTAATGATGTAATGTATGGTGGTTAACATAACAATAAAAAATTATTAAAAAAAAAAAGTGGTTGGCAAGCCAGTTAATTGCGATGCAAAGCCTCATCTGAGGATGGCCTGCAGGCGGGATGCAGTAAGGGGGGCAGCCCCGGACCCAGAGTCAGGCAACCTCCTACTGTTGACCCTGGGCACATCACCTCTCCTTGCTTGTCTCAGAGTTTTCATCGGTGCAATGAAGGCTCCTCTAAGATGTGAAAGCAGAAACCAAATACGTGAGCTAGAAAGAATAACTTATTTTATTGACCTATTAAACAGGATATGGACCTTGCTTATTGGCTTATTGAAAAACAATAAGCCTCATCTGCCCCACCCCCCAGTGAGTCACAGCAATTCATAATACAGCTCAAAGATGATGGCAAACTGTATCTAAGATGATCTAGGTGCATGATTGACATGCAATCCTGTCTGGAGACGGGTGAATTAAATGACTAATTAGTTTGCCAACCAACAGATATTCACAGAATGGCCTTACATAAGGCTCCAACATAAAGTCCACGCTTCTTGGTTTTAGGAAGAAGAAATGACAACCAAGAGAGAAAAGGAGAAATGACAAATAATTTAGGAATTGTTAAGGTATGTATTTTACTTTTTAGTTCACTAGTTTCGGTTTTAAAATTATACTTGGGTTGTTAGTAATTGGTTGATGAGATTAATAGCTGGGACAGTGCATACCATGCAATTAAATTAGCCGTGTGTGGAAATTATGGAGCAGACCAGCTGTAGCTTTCCATGAGGATTAATTCACTCTAGTTAAAAGCAGCCCCTCGCCTAGACGCTGGTTCTCAGACCAGGTATGTCCTATGATTGAAGGGTTAAGTGCAAAACAGACACAATACAATAAAAACCTTCTCCAGCGAGAACCACATTAGCTGAGTTTCCAGGGAACGTTCTCGGTAGACAAAGACCGGCTTGGCTTTGCAACACTTGCATGCCACCCCAATGCTGGGCAGAGCGCAGGAACAGAAACAAGCAGATGGCAAGAAACAAAGACAAATCAAGACACAGCCTAAGAGCTTTAGTGATTGTTTAGGAAGAGTGTGAGTAACCAAAATTTGTATCTGTACATGTGGAGGCAGACAGAGGAAAGAAAATATTTTAAAAACTAAAGTCCTGGGGCGCCTGGTGGCTCAGTCGGTTGAGCTTCAGGCTCTTGGTTTTGGCTCAGGTCGTGATCTCAGGGTCGTGAGATCAAGCCCCACATCGGACTATGCACTCAGTGTGGAGTCTGCTTGAGATTCTCTCTCTCCTTCTCCCTCTGCCCCTCCCCCTGCTCATGTGTGTGCTCGCTCACTCGCGCTGTCTAAAAATAAATAAATGAATCATAAAAAATAAATAAATAAATAAAGTCCCTTGGGGTGCCTCGCTGGCTCAGTCAGTAGAGTGTGTGACTATTGATCTCTGGGTTGTGAGTTCAAGTCCCACGTTGGGTGTCGAGATTACTTAAAAATAAAATCTTAAAAAAACAACAAAACAAAAAACCCCAAAAGTCCCTCCATCTTATCGATCGGCATCCAAAGAAGTTCTGCCAAAAGAATGTTTGAATCGGCTAGCTTATTTAGGAAAGTAGCAATTTCACCCTTTAAATATGGAATTGTGAATTTGATAGCTTCATGGAGACACTTTCTAAAAACTAATTTTTGAACAACAGTCATCATTTGAAAAAAAAAATCAGTGTGTTGATCCTCTTTTCTTCCTTTTGCTTGACAGCTATTTAAATTCTTAACTACTATCTTCTACCACAGTGGTCCCCAAATGGTATGACCTTGAACCCATATAAGTGAAAAAGGTATAGGAAGGCACCTATAATATGTGCATATTTATTTACAACTATAAGCATGTACCACTGTACTAACAGATCACATACATGATAAAATACATATCAAATAGAATTTAAAAGGATAAGAAAGAAACATGGGGCATGTGGTCTCACAAAAAGGAAACGGGAAGCAGCTTCAAGCCCAGTATCTTTTAAGTTCATTATCACGAGAGAACAGAGAACCTGGGCACGGTCCAAGAGATTTTCTTACTCCTTATCACATAATAAAATGATATAAAAAAATATACTGTGTCACAGCACCTAGGTGGCTCAGTCACTCAAGCGTTCAATTCTTGGTTTTGGTTCAGGTCCTGATCTCAGGGTCCTGATCTCAGGGTCATGAGGTCAAGCCCTGCATCAGGCTCTGAGCTCAGCATGGAATCTGCTTAAGAATCTCTCTCTCTGCCCCTCCCGCCCCAGCACTTGTACCCGCGCACGCACACGCTTTCTCTCTCCCAAATAAATAATCTTAAAAAAAAAAAAAACTCTGTCAAGGGTCCTGTCTTTCTGGCCTCAACTTCTCTCCTACAGTAGCTTTCCTGCAACTGTGACACCATCTCTAACGTCTAGTCTCAAAGCTGCGTATTTGTCCCCATCAGAAGCGTCATCCTATCACTGCGGATGCAGGGCATGTTCCCGTGCCCCCCCCCCATAAAACACTGATCTTATTTTTAAAAGCCTTTTACTGTTGAGAATGCTTCTCCTCATGTACATCTTTCCTTTGGTGGTTCACCCAAAAAGTACTTCTGTGGATAATTTCCCACTGGAGCAAAATCGAACAAATTCCCTAAGCTGAGTCAGCTTAGAAACATCTGCACTCTCGTCCAACTGTTTAACAAACCTCCCAATGAGCTTCTTGGTCTATTCAGCAACGTTTTCTAGACATCTCCCAAATCCATTTGCTAAAGAGACACACTCTGACCATCTTGTCTTCTGGGCATTATTGTGTGGTCCTTTCTGCCATGACAGGAAGAATATCATTTCCCCAACTGTAGGTGGATTTTCATCTTTAGCGCTAATAGAGAAACCTCACAAAAGGTTTCTAAGCCTATTGTTTAGTGGAATTTTGCGAAACACTGGGTTGGCTATCACATGACTTTAAATCGCACTGAAAAAAAAAATAGCGCACTGAAAAAGCTCTAGAAGCTCTTCATGTTCTGTTTTCTAAATGTCTTCCTAACCATGACAGTCCCACACCATCAGACCCCAAGGTGCCATGTACACAGGGTGAGGGTCGCCCTTCGTGACAGTGGATTTGCAATCAAATTTCCAATGGGCTTCCTGACAATTCTGAATCTCTCTAACAGGCTGACTTCCTATCAGAACCCGTCAGCCTCCACTATTCCGAGTAGGAGAAACAGGAGTGGTATGCAGAACCATACTGCCTTTGATCAAGTTTTCCATGCAGAATTATTAAGCAGAGAGAGATGATTTAGTCAAAACTAGACACTGAAGCATGTACAGGCCTTCCCCAGGCATAGATGAACTGCTTGTGGCAGAAGGACAAAGGTGACCAAGGCAAGAGGGTACCTCACCTGTTGCACAGGACACCTGCTCTCTGACGCCCAGACTGAAGGCACCAGGGCCAAGCTAGTAAAGCTCAGTTTCATTTTACTTTCCAGAGAAGTAAATATAAATAATGGCTTCCTCATAAATCATGCTTTAGAGATGAATGCCTGAGAGGCATTGCTCCCCAACTTTTATGACCACAGAAGTCCTGATGCCTTTAACATGGGAACCCAAGGAGCTCAGAGGCAGACAGAAAACGCAAGAGAAAAACTGAAGGGGAAAGTGGCTTGAATCTCCCACAGTGCCGCCCAGGGCTTACCTCTGTGGGAGGATATTTGAAAAACACCTCAGGTAAAAAGCGCTTAGCTACCTGAGAAGCAGGTTTTGCTACTATTTTATCCCACATTCAGAAACTCAGCCTCCCATTTAGTTTAAATTAACAGCTCAGATCAAGTGTCAGCAACTGAGAAACACTCTAGGTGTAAGAGCTCCTTTTTCCACGGAGAGCAGAGAAAACTGCCACTAGGGCCCCACTCACCCCTGACAAATAGCGCTCAAGTTTCTTGTTTAAGAGGAAGTAGATGGCAAGGATGTGGCAGGCGCGGTTGGAGAGCACAGTGTTGATCACGTCGCTGTTCTTGTAGCCCAGCTTCTCCGTCATGTGAAGCACCACACTTGGGCTCAGGTCCTCCAGGGAAATCCTGCCCAGCAGAGAGAGCACCGGTCACCTCTCCACCTCCACTGAGGGGCTCCAGGGCCTCCTCAGTGATGCTCACAAACATGGCGGCACAAAGCATCCCGCCGCCCCCCACCAATCAGGGCCCCTATGAACAATCGTGTCCAACCATCCATTCATTCGTTCACTTGACTTTTTTATTATGAACAATGTCACACAGGCAGAAAACTAGTGAGAAGAGTATAAATACCCTTTGTGTACCCAACACCAGAATACACCACTGTTAACACTTTGCCCTATTTTCTTCATTTATTTGTTTGTTTATTCAGTGCTCAAGTATTTTAAATCACAGGCATCATGACCTTTCATTCTTACACACCCCAGTGTGCACCTTTAAGATCCAAGGACATCGCCTACAGAATCACAATACCATCCACATACTCAATAATTTAATAATTTGTAATAATTTCTTAGTATTCTCTAATATCTAGACTATATTCAAATTTCCCCCAATTATCCCTGAATTGCTTTACAGTCTGGCACTCTTTTCTAAAAATGTGTTTATTGGACGTGGGTAGAGCCCACACTTGAGTTGGATGTAAGTTGGGCTGGGAAAGGAGCACATTCAGGAGCCAACCCAGACTGTGTTAAAGGAACAGTGTGGGATCCCGCGTTCACAAAAGGGAACTGGGGGCTCGGCCATAAAGTAGGGTGCTCTCGGGGGACAGATTAAAGCTTCTTATGAAGATAAATTCCTTGGTTAGAAATGAATGCCTGCTATTCATTTATCTACTCATCCACTCGTTCGTTTATTCATTCCTTCAACAAGTCCCTGTTTTGTGGAGTCGACATTGCAGTGGGGAACAGACGAAATAAATTCATTTAGCCTTCATGAAAATCTTATGAGTAGGTACTATTAGTATCCCCATGTTACAGATGGAAGAAACTGAGGCCCACGCCTGTGAAGTGACTTGCCTCGGGGGTCCCATAGGCAGGAAGGAGGAGCCCCAGAATTCAAACCCTGGCAGCCTGGCTCAGAGTCTAAGATGCTAAACCTCTACACTCAGCAGCTCTCAAATAGACACGAGGAAGGGCTATGGAGAACAAGAAAGCAGGCTGAGGAGTATAGAGTGTGTGTGTGATGGTACATCATCAAACAGAACATTCTAAATCCCTTAAGAGAGATATAAACAGGGCACGCTGTGCGGAAGGCAAGCACATCCGGCCAGAGAGCTCTGTAGCCCACCCTCCACCAAGGGTCCGAGGACATTTTTTATGGGACCTCGGACCACAATACCCTGAGAAACCACACAGGACAAGTCCATAATGATACAGAAGAGGAAACTGATTTGCCAAATTTACAGGCCAGCTGAAAAGGGCAGCAAGGGCAGACCTAGGTTTGTGGACCATCTTCCACCATCCATCGGTATAACCTACAGCAGCACTCCCTCCTTAGAGGGAGTGCCATCCAAAGAAAATGCACCCAAGGAAACTCAAAATCCGCCTTTTCCTCCTTGTTGGCCATAAAATCAAATTCTAGATAACTGATGGGGGGTGGTATGGAATGACTAGCGGTAAAAATAATGTTTCTTAAAAAAGAATACAATTACTTGAAGTTTGCCGAAGCACTTACTAAAGCAGAAGGCTCGATTTTGGAAACTATCCGGTAATGACTGTGTGGGCGTGGCCCTGCCCCTGGCCAATCAGACCATGGCCCTGTGTCTTGTCCTTGGCCAATCAGACCACGGCCCCATGGCCTCACCCCTGGCCAATTAGATCACGGCTGCGTGAGCCGCCCCTGGCCAATCAACCGGCCGCCACCCTCGGCAGCCCGCCCCCCCTACCCGCAGCAGGCCCGGGAAGAGAGAGCGCTGCGGAAGAGGGGTGCCACCAGGGTGGGGCTGGGGGGTGGCGGTGAGAAGGGGCAGTAAGCAGGGGCAGGCACCCCATCTCTGCCCTTCTATAGCCACTGTCTTCAGAAACAGGAGAGCTCTGCCAAAAGACACTGTCGACTCTGTTGACTGAGAGTACGAAACATTTTCAATAAGCAACGTGTGTATTTGGAAGTCTGCAATCGGTTACTTAATTCTGACTATCTCCCCATGTTTGGACACTAGTAAAACGTTTCAGAACACCAGGTATAATTCTAAGTAAATCTGCATTAAATACCCTATTATACCACTTTGGCCTAATTTCACCCTGTTGCCAATGACCTCCTTTGCCTCCCGCCCACCTCCAGAGCTAACTGGAGGGTGGGAGACTGTCCAGGCTCGAGCAGGGCGATGGAGGAAGGCAGCCAAGGTTATCTCCCTAAAAATATCTGCTTCTAGCACACAGGGAGGCTGGCCCCTGCACAGCAAACTGTTGACTGACTGGCATGAATATTTATTATAAAAAGTTGACTTTTAAAGATATTTTCCTCTTGCCTTTTGGAGATCAACTTGGAAGCCCAAATGACTTAACAGAAGGCTTTACAGAAGAGTGATACAAAACATAAGCCCTGTATTTTTGTTCTTTCCCCAAAGTAAAACATTTTTAACAACATCTAAAATAATGAAATCTGAGGCTAGGTTTGTTGGGAAGCTATAAAATATACTTTAATACAGTCCATATTCCTTTCCCTGATCACATGCTCTGACTCCATTTATCTGTGCTCTGGTCAAACCAGAAAAATAACTATCAAAAGCACTGTTTCTTTCTTTCTTTCTTTTTTTGCCTTACACATTTTTCAAAATCAAGACTGTAAAAAACCTACCTCCCGCAAGAGTTCAGATTTCTGGTTTTGGTACTTTAAAACAGAATAGTGATTTGCCTCCGGTACAAAATGAGCAGTGGGCCTTGTATAAACAGAAGATAGTAAGCGGCTGTTTTCTTTAACAGACATGATCTTAACCATTTTCACAACCCGGCTAGTTCATGTGCAGCCTTTATGCTTCTGACCAAGTCCAAAGGCAAAAAAAAAATTGCTAATCTGGCAAAATCTAGTACAGGACCCTTGAATTTGGTTTAATCTACAAATGCCTGACGACCACCTGTGGAAAAGCTACAGAATGAGGCGCCACGGTAGGATTCTTTGTGCATGAGGATGTGGCCAACAAGGAGGGGGAGACTATTTCTAATGCCAGCTCCGCTTCCTTCCAACAGCTGCCACCCTGGGTGGATTGATTATGCTCATTTAGGCAGTGATTACATTAGCTTAATGACTCACGTGGCCGCCACCAGCACCCCCTCCTCTAGCGGAAAGCATACCTGTGTGCTGCCATCCTTCGTGAGCACTGGTAATGAGCCATGGCTCCTCGGCTTTGCTTTCCATCTCACGTTGAGGTAATATTTCTGGTGTCTGTTTCAGACACGGGCCAAGTGGAGCCAGTGGTGGAAACCAGCAGTATATTTCCAGGTTCCCCTGGTAACCTAAGTAACCTAGACTTGGTTTAAATTACTTCTCAAGAGTCAAATGCTAGAATTCTAGATGGCAACGAAGTGAAACTACCTCATCTATACTCACAGTGAGTGTAAATTTGGCTCAGTAGCATGGATGCAAACTCCATCTGTGGCCTCTTAAAGTTCTTCTAGAACTTTCTCCCCAAGACAGAGCCCTGCCTGCCCATCCTATTTGGAGAACTCTGTGTGACAGCTTTCCTACGGCTTGGTGGATGTTTCCAGACCTTCCTGGACATTCTGAAAAATATCTGTCCCCCTCATCAGTGGTCCTTGTTCTCATCTGGGCTTCAGATTACAGTGAGTAGGCCCAGGCCCTAGAGTGTGGGTCCCAGAACTGGAAGGTATTTGACCCATGTGGTCTTCATGTTTGCTATAAAGGAACCAAGGTGAGGGGCCTCATACCTTCACTCAGGGCAGTTAACAATATGTCAAATGAGTAGGAAGAAAGTACAAGGGAATGTTTTCTTATACTTGTTTTCAAATCTGTTGCCAGTACGGCAGCAATGGCGACATGTGGGCCACCACGAGGTGCCCCTCAGGGTTTCCACGCTGTGGATCCCCACCTGCGAGCCTTGCCTGAAGCATTCTCCTCTTGGAAGCCGCTAAGGTGAAGCCTTCACAGGAAGTCCACAGGGAAAGACGGCCTGAAGCAACTGTCTCCTTCTACCGCCTTTCCTTCTGGCCCCCACCATTCCGAGCAGGGGACTCGGGGCTAAACTAAACATCGGAGCAAAGAAGCAGAAGAGGGGCCCGAGGGGTGGTTTGAATGGGGAGAGGGCCAATCCCACTGGATTCTGCCTGAGGCTGGTGGGAGAGCCCAGGAATGGATCTCACACACACTCAAATACAACCAGATACCGTCATAGACACACACACACACACACGCACGCACACACACACACACACACTCAGGCCACAGCTAGTCTGAACGGTCCCTTTGTGTGAATTAGAAAGAGGTGCCACTCTGTGAAGATGTAAGCCCCTGGAGCAAGAATGACAAGGGGAATGTGGCATGGATTCCAGGCTCCACCCACCCTCTGCTGGGTGCCCCGTGCACGGCACAGTCTGCACAACCACATGGGATAGCCCCCTCTACCCTTCCTCTTGTGCACTGAGGTGGGCCTGTCCCTGGATGTGTGGGCACAGAGTGGGGGATGGGCAGCCAAGAGAAAACGCAGCTTTTCCTTGAATCATGTACCACTTCCTATCCAGAAGTATTCAGGGCTCAGGAGGCAGCCCCATCTGGCCTCAGAAGGGGTCCCTCTGTGTGTACTTACCTGTTGGGATAGGTGACATTACATGGCACTTTGCCCGTGTAATTCTCATTAAGCCAACGATTCGCCAGTGCTTGCTGAATATTGGGCCTCTTCACAGGATCTGGTTCCAGGAGAGAGCGCAGGAAGTTGATGGCACCTGGGAAGACATTAGGCAAACATACCCATGTTACAGACCGAATGCAGATGCCACCGAGACTCAAGGCAGGTGGTCCACCCCGGCTCCTGAGTCATGGCCAGCACTGGTCTATTCCCCAGATCTCCAGGTGCCTCAAGTCCAAAGAGTTTAAGGTATCTGTCCAAGGGTACACGGTGAAGCAAGACCCAATTCGGGTCTCCCCATGCCCTGCACTTCCCAGGACAACCTGTGGTCTGATCTTGCAGCCCATCTCTAAAGGTGAGCCCAAGAGCTGTTCTATTTCCATGCTTGAAGGGATAAAAGAAAGTAAAGAGAAAATGCTTGTTCTCAAGGTGGGTTTTTGAGGAAGTACTCAGAAAGGAACCAGAGGGTAAAGGCTCTCTGAATTATACCCTCTAACTTGCCTCTCACCATGTGACACACAGAGTCTCAAGAGACCAAGGGAGGGCCTGCTTTCTTTCCGGTCTTTTTTTTTTTTTAAAGAATTGGGGAGAGGGGAGGGGAGGGGCAGAGGGAAAGGGAGAGAGAGAATCCTAAGCAGGGTCCATGCCCAGCACGGAGCCTGACATGGGGCTCCATCTCACAACCCGGAGATCACAACCTGAGCTGAAATCGAGAGTCAGACGTTTAACTGACTGAACCACCCGGGCACCCCTTGTTCTTTCTTTTAAAGCCATTTTGCACGGCCGTCCACTTAGTCCCCAGACTCTGAATGGACAAAACAGTACCCAGACCAGCCAGAGCCCACACCCATGCAGCCAAGCCAATCAGAGAGCCAGCTTCAGTGAAAGTGTAAGTCAACTCTGTAACAGCCACCCAAGTTTTAAATGCCTAGTTTGTGTACAAAGTTCCAGTAAGCACCACACTATAAACCCATGTCTACTTGATAGGCCCTTTCCTTTTGTGCTCTCCCTCAAAATGAAGGGGCTGCTTGGGCAGAATGTACGCCAATCAAGTTTGTCCTTATTTTGCAGCTGACCGAAGTTTGCTGTGGTCATATCAGTTATGCTGAGCACGGTATGTAGGAAAGAATATGAGAAGCAACTGACAAACTATAAAATCCCTCCAGCCCCCTTTCCTTTCCATCCCAGGCAAAAAATGCCCTGGGTCTCCTTTCATTGGACGAATATTTAACAAAGCACCTGCTGTCCATCCAGGCACTAAGGATAGGAAGCTGGTTCATCTCTAAGTAGATATTTGCATCCTTGAAGATTATAACAATGTAAGACAACTGCATGACATGGGAAAACATGTGTATAATGCACAGGAAGGTCACAGGCTCCAAAATTGCTAGCAGGAGAATACGCATGAACACACATGGACAAAGAATGCCAGGGATCACTTTGAAATGAAGATGGTCTGTCTTGCTTGAGTGGTGGGATTATGACTTTCTTTTTATTCTATGCTCCTTCTCTTACGGAGCACGTTCATATCATCTTGGCACTATAAAAAATATCCTTTTATGTACCTTTGTCCATGATATCCAATTTCCAGTAGACCAAGTAATAGACTCCAGAACAGAGTCCTAATTTGCTTGTTTCCCATTCTTTTCTTTTTTTTTTTTTAAGATTTTATTTATTTATTTGAGAGAGAGAGAGAGAGCGTGTGCTGGAGAAGGGGCAGAGGGAGAGAGAATATCCAAGCAGACTCCGGCTGAGCATGGAGCCTGATGTGGGGCTTGATCCCACGACCCATGAGGTCAAGACCTGAGCTGAAACCAAGAGTTGGACACTCAACCAACCAACTGAGCCACCCAGGAGCCCCGGTTCCCAAACTTTTCTATCCTTCTCTCCAAAGTTATCTTTCAGTTTTCTAACATAATCTAACCTCTCAAAGAAAAGTCACTTTCTCACAAGCTTTTAGTTGTCATTCTAATACTGTTCTTACAGAATGGTAGGTGTTTTCTGTCAACCCATTTTCTGCAGGGTAGAAATCAAGCCCTCAAAAGAGGGGCTGATGGTGATGGCAGAATCCACCCAAAAGAAACAATTTTTACTTGCTCATGCCACCGGGTAACTCCCCCAGTGGGTTCCCATCCAGTTGGTGTGGTCACCAGAAAGTCATTTCTCCTTAAGAATGGAGTGGGTAAAAATATACGTGCAGACACCAGCTCACTCATGAGGTACATTTAATACTCTAAGTTTTATAGCTGGGTCTCCAAATAAAACTTTCCTAAAATATTCTTCAATGGTCTGAAAAGCAAAGAGATCTCCAAAAAAAAAAAAAAAAAGATGAAGAAGAAGTTCCTCTTTCTGGAACCTCTATCTCCCCTTCTCTCGACTCCCCTACATTGCAAGAGTCATCTGGATGCCTAATCAGGGCCATCTATTGGTCAAATAAAAAAGATATGGGCTTCCTCTGTTGAAATGTGGAGGCTGTGAGTTCATGATGTTTCTGAGACATCTCTGTCGCTTACCCTCAACGGACCTGTACAACCCAGGCTACTGCCAGGCTTTTTCAGAGTATGATTAACCCAAAGAACTAAGAACAGACTGGATGTGCGTTTCTGTTCTATTTTCAGAACCACGCACTCGGCATCTTCACAAATTGCTGATGAGCACAAGCAATTTTAGTTCTAATCTCTACTGAAGAATTTTATTTCTTTGGACATCACCAACATGGCATTCCTATCCACAAAGGACTTTGAAAATATCGGGAGAGTTCTTTGAAGTTTGTCTTAGGATCCTGAAAATCCCTAGGTTTCATGAGCAAAAGGGATTAAAATTCTCCAATGTCCTAGAAAGCCATGGTGGGCCCGGCCTCTCATTGCTCTACCCTTCTAAGCTAGTAACTGGGGTCTCCGTTCAGGCCCCAGGGTAGGGATGACCCGCACAGAGAGCTCACCCTCCTTGCTCCACATCGCATGTGGCACGCACTTCTCCAGTGCGAAACCCACTTCCCTCCATGCGGAGTCTGCTTTCCATAGTCTGGACTGGTTTGTGTGAGCACCTTGACGCCGTGCCTAAGGAAAAGGCTACAGGACACAGACAAAGCCAATCGGATGTGTAGCCCAGCAGATGCAAATGGGAGTCCTATCTCCACCCGAGTCTCCTTCCTTATCACCTCCGAGGCAAAAGCAGTAACAACAATTATTTGACAGTTGAACCTTATCAGAGATTCCCGTTGGCACTGGCTCTACCCTTGTGCCTTCGGCTTCACTTTCATGACTTCATGGTACAAAACCCTCCTGGCTCGGAAGTGACTGTTTGGAATATGAAAGCATCATCACTGAGAAGTAGAGATGTAAAGATAAGCTGTCTGAAAAATGTGTAAGCCATGAAAGGCATTCCCAACTCTGCAATTCGCAAGTGCCAACAAGCAGAAAGAGACTGTCTAGAAGCGAGAATTGGAAAGGGCCCAGAAGCTCAAGTTTTCAAACCACGTGGTAGAGATGAGGGGCAATTCTTCAAAAGCATGCACAAAGGACTCACAAGGGCTGTCCTTTTTTGTCAGCTCGGCAAAAATTCTCCCAACTTAATCTAAAAAAAGAGTACCATTATACCATAGATGTATAGAGATCACTGCAAATATGAGTGATAGAATCATGAAATTAAAGATGTGTTGGTGAGGGGCGCCTGGGTGGCTCAGTCAGTGAAGCGTCTGCCTTTGGCTCAGGTCATGATCCCAGGGTCCTGGGATCAAGCCCCACATCTGGCTCCCTGCTCAACAGGGAGTCTGCTTCTCCCTCTCCTTCTGCCCCTCTCCCTGCTGTGCGTGTTCTCCCTCTCTCTTTCTCAAATAAATAAATAAATAAAATCTTTTAAAAAAATAAAGATGTGCTGGTGAGAGGCTTAATGAGAATGGCCATCAGAAGGCCAGGGGCTCACCTCTGAAACCGAGGTCATTCACTGTGTAAACAAGATAAGATGACCTGTACCCCTCCAGTAGCCAGAACGCAGCTCAGGACCCCAGCGCATCGGGTCAAATCCTGTCCCTGAGCAGGCGGGAGGATCTGTGGGCTGCCTTCCAGCAGCAACCTAGATTCCCCGAGAATCTATTCTGTGAAGACACCACGCTTGATACCTGGCATGAAACCCTCATTGAGGAGAAATAAGAGAAATACTTATATATCCCAATAGTTAAAAAAAAAAAAAAAAAAGGTTAGGGGAGGAGTCCAGATTCCTGAATTGGAAAATCAAACATAGAAATGCAATTCTTGGGGTGCCTGGGTGGCTCAGTCGGTTGAGCAACTGACTCTTGGTTTAGGTCTGGGTCATGACCTTGGGGTCGTGAAACTGAGCACAGTGTGGGGCTCCACACTCAGCAGGGAGTCTGCTTGTCCTTCTCTCTCTTGAGGGCACAAGTGGTGCGGAGGGGCGGAAAGAGAAGGAGAGAGAGAGGCAGAGAAGCAGACTCCCCACCGAGCAGGGAGCCCGATGCGGGGCTCGATCCCAGGACCCTGGGATCATGACCTGAGCCGAAGGCAGACACTTAACCGACTGAGTCACCCAGGCGCCCTTAAATAAAACCTTAAAAAAGAAGAAGAAGAAGAAAGAAATGCAATTCTTGCTTGTTTATGCTTGACAAGTCAAGACAACAAAGTCCCTTAGGAATGTGAAGATCTTTAAAAAAAGCACACACAGAGCTTAAGGCCAAAGTCAAAGCTGTCTGCTCAGAACAGAAGCCAACCCCAGTGACGCTAAAATCGCTCAGAACATTTCTTATATATCTTCTTTGGAATTTCTTCTGGATTTTTTTTTTAAACATCTTCGAAGTGGAGCTTTTACTTCTTTAAGGTAGATTTAATTTTCACAATCAGAAAACACTTAGAGCCCAGCCTGCTAAGTCTGAGTAATATTACTGGGGTTAAAACAATGTTGGTTCTTTTCTTTTTAAAGATCTATTTATTTATTTGAGAGAGAGAGAGAGAGCACGAGTGGGAGGGACAGAGACTCTCAGACAGACTCCACACTGAGCACACACAGAGCCCGATGCGAAGCTTGATCCCAGGACCCTGAGATCATGACCTGAGCCAAAACTAAGAGCTGGAAGCTTACCCGACTGCACCACCCAGGCGCCCCAAAACAATGTCAGTTCTGAAGTAATGAGACTGACTTCTTGGGCTGCTAATCTCCCTGCCCTTACCCTGATGTGCAACCCACCCTGGGGACTACCCCGGGTTGAACCACCTGTTCTTCGTCCCACAACCTGTGGCTCACACTCATGCTGTTCAATAGATATTACTGGTTTTCTGCCTTTTAGACACACAGCAGGGTTGTATTTCCCCATTCCCCTTTAGTTGGGTGAAGCCCTGTGACACACTTTAGAAAGTTAGGAGTTATGAATAGAACATTGGTGGGAGACTTAATTGCTAAATGAGAGATGTTCTAGACTTTTCTTTTCCTCCACATGGACCAGGTATGTTTGAAATGGTAGCTGCTCCATCAGTCTAGGACTCTGACGGACTAGAAGGGGCAGAATCCTCCAACCCTTGATCCAGTTCTCCACAGATCTGTGGCATGAATGAGAAATAAGTGTTTGTTGTCTTAAGCCATTGAGATTTGGGGGCTATTTGTTACTGTAGCATAGCCTGGCCTATCATGACTAAAATAATGAGAAGCATTTCTCCAGCTCCTCAGGGTCTCAGTGGTATTCAAAGTGAGCCCTGTCTGCCTTTTTTAGGCATGAGGGTACAAGAGATTCTACCCTCCCTAGCAAAGCACAGACCAAATTAGATCATGACATACAAGAATGCATTTCAGCTTGAATTCCATTTGGCAGGCTTCGTGGATGCTCTATAAACTCAACAGAAAAAATACATAACAGTAGTAAAATAAAAATGCTGTATTTTATTTTATTTTATTTTTTTTAAAGGTTTTTTTTTATTTATTTATCTGACAGAGACAGACACAGCGAGAGAGGGAACACAAGCAGGGGGAGTGGGAGAGGGAGAAGCAGGCCTCCCGCAGAGCAGGGAACCCGACGCGGGGCTCGATCCCAGGACCCTGGGATCATGACCTGAGCCGAAGGCAGACGCTTAACGACTGAGCCACCCAGGCGCCCCAAAAATGCTGTATTTTAAACCATGTATTGTAAGTTGAAATTAAATAATTACTTTTTTTTTTTTTTTGGTTGCATGCCTTATCTCAGTGAAGCCGAAGCTGAGTTTATTCTAAGGAGCCAATTAAATGATTGCCAGGGCCAACCTGAAGCCAGGAACTTGAAATGAATTGTGACCCAAACAAAAGAACAAATTGTGCTAATTTACTGGGTCTGAAACCAAATCTTACTGTGACCTGTTTACTGAAACGTGAACCACCTGAAGTTGGAGAATACTTGCCAAACACACCTGATGATTCAGTCTAATCAAGTAACTGAAACTACATATATTTAAAAGCTTTTGAACAGGCTCAAAACCTCAAATAGCAAAACAGATCATAGACCAAACCTGAACAAAAGTAATATTTCTTTACAGTGCATTGACTGAGGAAAGCACAATAGAAATGTGATTATAAATGCTTTTTTCAAAGCCAACATTATAATATGGTGAGCTTTAAAACAATCAAGACTGCAATTATTTTTCCAAGATCCTTTTGATGTGTGTGTTTTGTGTGGAAGGAGGAAGTTAGGGGTTCAGAGTTATAATGAAGAAGAAAAGGACCAAGGTGAGATGAATGGTTGCTTAGCCATGGGAAACTCAACCACCCCTGAGTCATAGTTTAATCCTAGGACAAGGCCTAATACCATTTCTGCAAAGCAAATACTGCTTCATGGATGGACCAAACCTGGTAGGCATACAAGTCCTAGAACCCAGAATCCAGAGCGGCAGGCACCTTACCTGTGGAGAGCTGGGTGGGGAGGGGGTTCATTTCCTTGTCCACCATCTTCTGGTACAAAGCCCTCAGGCTAAAAGGCTCCACCGTGAAAGGCAGGGTCCCAGTCAACATGGCATACATGTTCACACCTCTGAAAAGAGACACACCAAAGCATGAGCCCAGAATGGGGCCCCCGGGAGAGGAAGACAAATAGGGCATGGGCTTGGCGAAGCTTCAGCCCTGGCACTTTCATGCTGACCTCAGGAGGCCTTCTTTCTAGAAAACTCAGCACCACAGTGAAGGAGCAAAAGCGAAAGGCATGGGGAAAAGCTTGCCTGTGAAGACTTGGACAACGGACCGTGGCGATCAAAGGAGGTCTAAGGAACTTCAAGAGCTACCTACCCCCTAAAGAAGGGAAACCATGTCCTTCCTTCTGGAAGGAAGTCCAGACGTAATTCTGTGAAAAATACCAGGAGCATGCTAGGAGGCTTGAGTAAAAGTAGTCTTGCCATTATGTGGTCTTCCAAGGATGACTTATAAGGTGGAACCTGGAGGAAGCTAGACAAAAAAATAAAGGGCAAGACCCTGCACAGGGAGGCAAGCCACAGTCTGGCTGGCAGGTCTGATTACCTGTCAGTCCTTCGAAACAAAAGTCACATCCCCAAAACTGGCCTGTTGCTTTTCCCTTGAATTCTGTTTGTGCCTATAACTAGAGAATTTCCCGGGGGGCGGTTGGGGGAGGTGTCTCCTTCCCACTCTTATTTTTTATATTGTTGCTCATTGTAAGACTCTGCCTCCCCCAGCCCTGGCCCCGTAGCTCAGATGTGGTCGAAATACCTCTGAATGGGCTTAACTGCTTATATCCAAAGCCAACCTAGCGAACGGCAACATCTTCTTGGAGGACTTTTATTTTCCTGATACGCAAACCTAGTATCATCTTGATGAGATTTCCTGATGGGGATGAAATGCCTGTCTGCCAAGAGGTCTCAAGTGTTCAAAAGTGCCTGAGGGAATATGTTTTAAAAACAGGCAATAGGATTTCCAGTCAAAACAAATCCAGTGAGACTGATTGAAATTAAGACCCTTGGGGCCCAGTTCCACCGAGGCGCCTCTGAATTACGGTGCCCCGGATCACGACGGGTACAGAGCCCATGGACTCCGGCCAGAAATCAGTCTCAAATTGCAGACATAACTCTAAGATCCGGTGCCTCCTCTGTAACTCACAGTGGAGTTATGGAGACAGATACCTAAACATTCAGGCCATAGACACTTGCTGGCTGGCTCCCACCCCGGGGAAGTGGTATAGGTGCTGGGCAGGGGTGAACCAGACGAAGCCCGGCCATCTTGGACTGTGGGGACAGACAGTCAACAAGTCAACAGATGACTAAGCACCATCTTTTCAAGTAGCGACGAACGCAGGGGGTTTAAGAAATGAACTTGGCTGCTTCCGACCACAGAGGCGTTCAATTAAGGGAGAAAAAAGTCTATAGTAAGTACTTGTAGACAGGTGGCCTCGGGGGGGGAGGGGCGAGTATCTAAGTGCAAGCTTCTATGTCTTTGGAATGGGGATGATAAGCTGGGCAGACGAGATACGGAGACAAGAATGAACCAGGCATACGCAGAGCCATTTCCCTGGGTGTTTGGTAGAACGCATTCCCCAGGACAAGAACAGATGTTGGGTGAATACAAGTTCCGCAGCCAAAAAATTTGGGGAGCAGGAGCCTGGGGCGGTAAATCGGGACACTGCTATTGGAGGCTGAGTGAGAGGGACGGCAGGCCAGAGAGAGACAGGCTAGTAAGTAATAGACATCGGAAGGAGCTGTGCCAAGTTGTCCACAAACCTGAAAAGCAGGACGAATGGTGGGAATAGTGACACAACTGAAGAAGCCGGGAGGGGCGGAGAGATGGAGCACTAGGGCCGGTAACGCGTTTGGGAACCTACCATGCGACGCTGCATTGTGGATATGTTTGAGCCAGAGCTAAACATCCTGGCTGGGAGGGTTCCTGGAGAGCAATAAGAGAGAAAACTAAGAAGCCCCCCAACACCCTCCCAGTTGTAGAATTTCTGCATTCAAAGGGGTCTTGGACACGTGGCTTTTGTAATAGGAAACCCTTCCAGAACATCCACAAAGTTCTTGGGGGCCCCTGAACCACCTTCAAGACAACGGTTACCAACCTCCCCAATGCAGCTCATTCCATTTAGGGCAACTCTAGGCACAAGGAAGGCATCCCTGTACTAAGCCATGGTCTCTCTCTTCTCCCCTTTGGTTGTGGAACAAGACCAGTCTTCTCTGTCCCTGCTTGCTTCTGGGCACCTTTGTCTTGGTCGTAGCATTCACACCTACAGCGGAAGAGCCTCGTTCTTACACAGTATCATTTCCCCCCCCCACAGGTAAATGTTTCATAATACCCAACCATACACTGTTTCTCAAACTGGGGTACACAGGACACATCTTCAGAGGTTCAGCAGTTCTATTTTTGAGTTTCTTTTGGTGATATACTAAAACATCCTACAAGCCACAACCAGGGCCATTGGACAGCCACCATATAACCAAGTACACACTGGATTTCGGTGCTTGCTTTTGCATTTGTGTTTACCAACACACAACCTTTCCCAAAATATAGCACTCTTATTGTCACAGGCTAATAAGAAAGGAACAGAAATGGACTTTGGGGTGGTTCCCAAAGTATGCAGCATCACCTGGAAATGTTGGATCTGCAAATTCTTGGGCCCCACCCCAAACTCACAGAATCAGAATCTCTGGGGGTAGGGCTCCACGATCTGGGTTTTCACAAGCCGTCCAGGTGCTTCAGAAGCAAGGTCAGGTCTGAAAGCCACTGGAGGGTGAAAATGGGCGGGGAGAATCAAGTGATCACATGGCATTGGGCCGACCAGCTCAGAGCGCCTGTGCCTAGGAAGAAGTATGCCCAGACCCCTTAGAGCAATTCCATTCTCAAAAAGCAGAAGCCACGGCACCCAACTAATGCTGCTAATTTGAATATTTGGGGATTCTTTTAGTCTTGGTTATATTTAACTTGTAAATTAGTTTTGGGTGTTAATTTGTACAGGGCCATACATAAAAGGAGTTTAATTTTACATTCACGTACATTAAGCAAAATTTAAATAAAAATAACTAAAGTCAACACCAGGGGTTACCAAGAATGTTCTTCCTTTTCAAGAAGAGTATATAATACTTCAGTTTGAAGAATACTGCCCTATGACCTTTTCTATTTCCCTTTGTCTTCAGGGGACACAGAGCTCCCTGTCACTGGTGGGATGCATAAAATCGTGCCACATGCTATAGGAGGTAGGACATTACAGTCATGGCAGGAAATCCAACTGAAGGATGTAACATGTAATATGAACGTAACATGTAATATGAGGCCGGAGGACCAACTCTAAAACCTTTATGAAAGTTTCTTTCTTCAAGGCGTCTTTGAGACCTCTCCTCACCACCAGCTGGCTTCAAAAGATGACATTCTAATCACTGCCTTTCTCCATTATCTGTCTGGGACCACAGATAAACGTAACAGATGCTTGTTTTAAAGACAGTGCTGGTGATCCTGTGCAGAGTACTCCAACCAGGATGGAGCGAGTGGTTTTTATAAAAACCGATTATTTTACCAAACTGACTCCAGAATTTCATTTCGCTTGGAGAGGTTTATCATCAGCAAGAACAGTCACAAGTCGTTAAAGAGGACTCTGCTGTCTCATCCAGGGTCTCTCCTCTACAAAACATGGGTAACAACAGTACCTACCTCTCAGGTTATATGAGGGTCAAATGAACTAAGCCACAGAAAGTACTAGATCCTGGGTCTGGTACAGACTCAGTGCCTGATAAATGTGATCTGCTTCATCACTGAACTTTTAAAAACCACAGATACAAAGCTACAATTATTATACAACAACTGTATCCTGTTACCAAAAAATAATGGAAATCTACGTCAAGAGTCATCCCGTTCCAAGAGATTTTATGAAGAAACCAGATCGAGTGTCTTCATTCCTCTCCCCAGGCTTTTCATACATGCTTAATATCGGGATAAAGAGAAATCCCAGCCCTCTGACATTTCAGAAGTATGTGAGAATACCAAGGGAAAAATGTGGAATGCAGTTTATAAACCTTGGTAATCCCATAGAATTAGTAGGAGTCTCAAGATATGTTCAGAATTTCCTGATGTGTCTTTTAAAATATGGTCCAGGGGCTTTCTAACATCTCCATGGCAGCCATGGAGCCCCCAGGAATCACAAATAGTTTTTCTGTTTAAGATTTTTTAATTTATTTATTAGAGAGCACGAGCGGGGAGGGGCAGAGGGGGAGGAAGAGAGGATCTCAAGCAGACTCCACCCTGAGTGCAGAGCCCTACATGGGGCTCAATCCCATGACCTCGAGATCATGACCTGAGCCGAAACCAAGAGTCAGACACTTAACCAACTGAGCCACCCAGGCGCCCCGAATCACAAATAGAGAAAAAAAGGTATGAGAGACTGGAATGAAGGATGCAACAAACAAACATGACAGGGGTTTTTCCAAACAGAAAGAAAGAAGGCTCAGTCAATTACTGGATGATAGAAAACCCAAAGGTACTGGCCAGTGTGGAATATGCTGGCGTCAAAAGGGAAAGATAAGGTGACAACGAAGAAAAGCAGGAAGATGAGGGGATGGGGCCCCATGAAATATAAATGTGGAATCTTTGGGATTACGTCAGGAAGCCCAATGATGGTTGTCATGTTTTGTCAGATAGAGATACTCCCTGGAGGAAAAGCTGGAGCGTCACCTATCATCCAAGAGAGGAAAAACAGAGGGTCGGACCATCCTGGAGAAGTCAGGCAGCACCTTTAGCAGGACACAAGGGACAAAGTAAGGGACAGAGCTGTGCTGGTCCCTGGGGGCATCCGGCTACTGTTCCCACAGAGCAGGTGGGCAGCATCCTCGGGAACTGCCCAGTTTATACCAGAGTGAAGCTGACAGAACCTCCAGCTGACACACCTGGCTTCTGTATGATTCTTCAAGAAAGGAACTGCCTCCAAAAAATTAAAAATAACTCTCTGCCTAAAAGCAACATCTTTCCATCTTTCAGCACCAACTTTCAATACAACTTCTGATTTAAAGTCTTGAAAGGAGGGGCGCCTGGGTGGCCCAATCAGTTATT